CATTTTTCGTTCAAATTCGACTCGCCTATGTTTGTCCTCTATTTCAGAATTTATGTCTAAGGAATTTTTCGGTGATCTCAAAATTGATTTTGGTACGAAACTTTTTTTCTAACGAAGTCAATTACCGGCGCGAATAGGAAACGAAGTTGCGAGAGAAGCTTATGACTTGCAATTTCGTGAGTAAGGAAATTCGTTGTTAACTGGAGAAACGAGTTTATTAATGGCAGTTATGCATTATTAATGCGTTTAAAATTTCCTGGATGGATTAATTTTATTGTCGTAATAGTAAAAAACTTCATCGATAAAAAAGTTGTATTTATCACAATTTAATTATTCTGACAGAACATTTTTTGAAACTGTATCACATGTAAAACAATTTGTATATCAAATTCCGCGACTACATTTCCGGTGACATGGAATTTTCAAGCGGCGAGAAAAACTGGAAAATCGAAAGGACCATTCGAGCGAAGAGGTCTGCCAATAACTTCTACTCTTTTTATAAAATTGAACCGTATCGAGGGTCCCCGAAGGCGAAAAGCGCAGCAGAGTCGGTGGAAAGTGTCTAGAATGGGATTATACCGGGTTACATTTGCGCTTCCTCGTAAAGAGAGGGTTGAAAATGTACACAAGTCCGTAAGAAGCCGCCATTGCACCCGGGGGAGCGCTAACACCGTTCGAGGATACGTTGGATACACTCCAGAAAGTCGGAATGTAAATGGTTGCGGCACCTCAATTAATTAAATTGCCTTTTCTCTGTTCATCCTAGCCCACTTCCTGCTTCCTTTTATTTCTTCGACTTATCTTGTCGATTATTGCTACCGTTTTTGAATAATCAAAATTCGCGTTATATTCGTCTGAATGTCCATTGTTCGTTATCTTACTTCGTTCACTTTATTTGAATGAACTTAAGAAGGTTAGATGTAAACTCAATAAGGTTGGGTGTGAACTCAACAAGGTTAGGTGTGAACTCAACAAGGTTAGGTGTGAACTCAACAAGGTTAGGTGTGAACTCAACAAGGTTAGGTGTGAACTCAATAAGGTTAGGTGTGAACTCAACAAGGTTAGGTATGAACTCAACAAGGTTATATGTGAACTCAACAAGGTTAGGTTGTAAACTCAACAAGGTTAGGTATGAACTCAACAAGGTTAGGTGTAAACTCAGCAAGGTTGGGTATGAACTCAACAAAGTTAGATATGAACTCAACAACGTTAGGTGTGAACTCAACAATGGTAGATGTGAACTCAACAAGGTTAGGTGTGAACTCAATAAGGTTAGGTATGAACTCAACAAGGTTAGGTGTAAACTCAGCAAGGTTAGGTATGAACTCAACAAAGTTAGATATGAACTCAACAACGTTAGATGTGAACTCAACAAGGTTAGATATGAGCTTAACAAGGTTAGGTATGAATTCAACAGATAGGTTAAATTCAATTATCTAATAAAAGCTTAAGCCTTGAATTTGAGATTATGAACTCAAGAAGGTTAGGTATACACTCAACAATTATATTAAGTATAAACTCAACAGTTAGGTTAAGTTCGATTTTCGAACTACATCAAAGGTGAAGTCTTGAGTTTGAAGTTGTGAACTCAACAACTTAGGTTAGGTATGAACAATTAGGTTAAGTTCGATGTTCTAACTACATCAAAGCTTAAGTCTTGAATTTTAGGTTAGGTTTAACTCTACAAATCGAATCATACATACTTATATTTTTTATTAGTGGACGTATGATATGGAAATAATCTGAATATAGGTTAGCAAAGCTAGCTGATATTTCTTGAAAGTTCACTAAAGCTCGCTACGACTTCATACAACCCCACAAAGTACCTTCCAGTAACAAATCCTTCCAGAAAATTCGTCAACGACCGTAAACCACAAAATTTCAAACCGCGCAATTCCCATTCAAAAATTCGGAATCTAGCTCTTCGCATTTCCAAGACACCGCAGAATTTCGTGACCGTCGTAAAACCCCAAGGACCGAGAATCCGAGACATTTGTCCGTTTTACGAAGTCTATCGAGAAGTCGCAAATCTTTGTCGATCAAAGGTTTCGGTTAAGGGAGACTAAAAAATCAATCGTAGCAAGGTTCCAACATTCACCAAAATGGAGGCTGTTGCCGTAACAATAATCCGCGGACGTAAGAATGGCCCGTGTTATAAACCCAAAAATCCGGACTCGATCGCCCGGCCCACGACGTTTCAAGCCACTGCGAGGCAATACGCGACAGTTTATGTCCGTTTTCATGGCGCGAAGGGTCGTAAGGAAAATACAGTTACTCGACGAAGCACCCGCTCGTTCTGTGCGAGGAACGCGTTTGATGAAGACGCGAATAAAACATTCGATGCTTTGCAATGATGAGAGTTAGAAGGTAGATAGGCTTTTTATGGTGGCTAGACTTCTGTTGGAGAAGCTAATTGGTTTTATAGAAATAATCTTGGTGATTGGTGGATAGATGGCGCTTGGGTATTGGTTTTCAGCTCGAGGTTAGGTAGTTTTAAGGTTATGTAGTTTCAAGGTTTGGTTTAGTAAAATTTTTTTAATTGATGTGGATTACTCAAGGATTTTTATTATTTGGGGTACAATTTTAATATATTATTTAGGGTTCAATTAATAGATTTGAGGTTAGGTACATAGAAAGTTAGGTTATATAGAAATTGAAGATTTGGTGTCTTTAACACTTCTTAATCGATGTTACACAAGGATTGTAGGTGCTTGGAGTTCAATGTTAGATTAGATTGGCCATCAACATATTGCTATCGACATATTTGAGGTTAGGTCCATAGAGCTCAAGGTTTGGTCTGATTAGTACATTTTCTGATCGATGTTTAATTACTTAAGAATTATTGGTACTTGGAGTTGGATGTTAGATTAGGTTGCTATCAACACATTCGAGGTTAGGTCCATAGAGCTCAAGGTTTGGTCTGATTAGTACATTTTCTGATCGATGTTTGATTACTTAAGGGTTATTGGTACTTGGAGTTGGATGCTAGGTTAGGTTGCTATCAACACATTCGAGGTTAGGTCTATAGAGCTCAAGGTTTAGTCTGCTTATAACCTTTTCTGGTCGATGTTTGATGACTCAAAAATTATTATTTGATGCTCGATGTTAGGTTAGGTTCTTGCACAACATATTTGAAGTTAGGTACATAGAATTACTGTTTGATCTATTCAGTAAGGTTTCTTAATCGATGTTTGACTTCTCAAAAATTATTATTTGATGCTCGAATTTAGGTTAGGTTCTTGCACAGCATATTTGAGGTTAGGTACATAGAATTACTGTTTGATCTATTCAGTAAGGTTTCTTAATCGATGTTTGACTTCTCAAAAATTATTATTTGATGCTCGAATTTAGGTTAGGTTCTTGCACAGCATATTTGAGGTTAGGTACATAGAATTACTGTTTGATCTATTCAGTAAGGTTTCTTAGTCGATGTTTGAGTTCTCAAAAATTATTATTTGGTGCTCGAATTTAGGTTAGGTTCTTGTACAACATATTTGAGGTTAGATACATAGAATTACTGTTTGATCTATTCAGTAAGGTTTCTTAATCGATGTTTGAGTTCTCAAAAATTATTATTTGGTGCTCGAATTTAGGTTAGGTTCTTGTACAACATATTTGAGGTTAGATACATAGAATTACTGTTTGATCTATTCAGTAAGGTTTCTTAATCGATGTTTGAGTTCTCCAAAATTATTATTTGGTGTTCGAATTCAGGTTAGGTTCTTGTACAACATATTTGAGGTCAGGTACATAGAATTACTGTTTGATCTATTCAGTAAGGTTTCTTAATCGATGTTTGAGTTCTCAAAAATTATTATTTGGTGCTCGAATTCAGGTTAGGTTCTTGCACAACGTATTTGAGGTTAGGTACATAGAATTACTGTTTGATCTATTCAGTAAGGTTTCTTAATCTACGTTTCACTAATCAAGGATTATTATTTGAGGCCAAATGTTAGGTTACGCACGATGCTATACAATGAGCTATCAGTTACACAATAATGCATTATTATAAACATCTGCAAGAACATCAATATTAACGTTATTAATAAAAGAGTAAATTACAAATGGTTAACCAACATAACCCTAAACTTAACCTCAATCAGCATCAAACTGAACGTACCCTATAAAAGAAGATTGCAATTCATCATGCCAAAGATCAACTCCATTTTGACAAGCTCTGACCCGAATGTACAAAGAGAAAAGCAAATCGAGCGTGGAACCAACACACGGTGTTTCGCGTGCAATTCAAGCAGCGTTATGGACTCGCTGTAACCGAGTCGGATTCATCGTAAAAGAGGGCTAGGACCTAGTCGTAAAAGGATTACGTTAAAGTTAACGCACGCCCGTTAAGAAACGTCCTGATAAAATAAAATCTTAATCCTGGTCCAACGGAAGCGACCAGAGATTTAACGTCCTCGCTGTATTCCAACCTTTCTTTTTATTTGTTTCTTCTTGGCTACTGCCGGCTTTTATGGCTACTGGTTCGATTATTAGATATGGCACATTTTCATGAAAGGGTCGTTCACCTACTTCCATTTCAACCTTCATTTTTATTTGTCAATAACGCTATCTCTTGACTTAATATTCTCAGTATTTTAATTTTGTAATTTTTATATGGAGCTTTTATTTTGAGGCCACCTGTATATTTTCACGCAAAAGCAATTTTTACAGCAAAAGACCTATTGGTGGTTGGGATTGGTGGTCGATGGGTTCACAGAAAAGAAATAATTTTAAAGGTTTTGATGGCTGCTGCGTTCCACTCTTGCTTCAAAATTCTCAATCTTGTGAATCTGTAATTTTTATATGGAGTTTTAATTTTGAGGCCACCTGTATATTTTCACGCGAAAGCAATTTTTACAGCAAAAGACCTATTGGTGTTATTGGTCGATGTACATAGAAAAGAAATAATTTTAATGGAGGTCTTGTTTCACATTTTCCCAAAAAAATGTTTGCCCATGTTTACCAGCAATTTCTATCCGGAAATTCCGTTTCCGTTGCAGCACCAATGGCTACGTGTGCCTGATGTTCCATCGAAGGGACGACCATGTAATAGAGATGCAGCTGTCGGAATGGAGCCAACAACCTGACAACGTGTGCAACTCCAGTACGTTCAACTCCCACTCGACGCCGTACACGACGTTCATTGGTAAGTCAATTACGATCATTTATTAACACTTGCTCGTGCGAACTACTCTCCTATTCCGACATGTTCGCGCCGTTGGAACTTCTCGAGATCCTGTCATTTTCGAAACGTGGTGCATAAAAAAAATTTCCGGAAAATATTTCAAATTGATTCTCAGATCAATAAACCTAATCGAAACAAAGCGAAAAAGGTTGAAAAACGCGGTGGTTGGTGGGCTCGAAAATAAAACGGTCAGTAAAATTAAAAGCGATATTTCACTGTCGAACGTTGAGTAGAAAAAATAAAATAAAGAATGGTTCGCATGTGTGAGGGTATAAAATATAATATCGAAGATAGTGAATCGTCGATAGGGGTGTGGGGGTGATAGGGTTTTTGTGAAGGGATGAAATTATTCCCGTGAAAATTTGCGATACTCTTTTTTATTCGTGTAACGATAAATAACGTCTTAACAATAGCCACGTTTCTGTTCGGCGGCGACGATAAATGTCTTCTCCGGTTGTAAAATTTCGCGAAACGATCGCGGAAGGTCCGCGAATAAAGCACAACTCGTTATTTAATATCGGCCACGGTGAAATTAATTAGACGCGATATTTCAGCGATAACGCGTGATTTTTTATTCCGTACGGACGGGATATTCGCGGAGAACGGCGACGGGACGAAAAATCGGCGAATTAATTATCAGGCGCGTTGATTAATTTGTTGATAATGAATTGGACGCATACGGTATGCGAATGAATTTCGTGCCAACTCAGCCGCGCATAACGAAATTGTAATGTATATTTGAATATGACTTTTGAATTTCCGATTATTGCTGAAAATCCTTGTTCGAATACTATATACTTGTTTTTTACTCGACGTTTAAAATTTTATTTTAAATTTATCTGTAAATTTGCTGAAATTTATCAAAGTAATTTTTCATAATATTTTAATAAATTACTTTTTATTTTGTTTTTACTTTTTTTAACTTTTAATACATTACTTTAGCAGAAATTATAGTATAGCCAAGCTATAGGAATTTATTAACTTGAAATAATCGAGTGAGACATATTTTTGTTTGAATACATTCAAATTTCGCGCCAAAACTGCACTGGAGTCACTGAAGTAGAAGACTCACTATTGTTGTCGATATTAAAATTAATAAATGAAAAATTTGATCTATAATTTCATTTAAAACTGACTTGCAAATTTGCTGAAATTTATCAAAGTAATTTTTCATAATATTTTAATAAATTACTTTTTATTTTGTTTTTACTTTTTTTAACTTTTAATACATTACTTTAGCAGAAATTATAGTATAGCCAAGCTATAGGAATTTATTAACTTGAAATAATCGAGTGAGACATATTTTTGTTTGAATACATTCAAATTTCGCGCCAAAAGCGCACTGGAGTCACTCAAGTAAAGGACTCACTATTGTTGTCGATATTAAAATTAATAAATGAAAAATTTGATCTATAATTTCATTTAAAACTAACCTGAAAATTTGCTGAAATGTATAAAAATAATTTTTGATCAAATAATTTATATTTTAATAAATTAAAATTTGTTTATTTTTTTAATTTTAATGAATTACTTTACCAAGAATTATAGTATAGGCAAACTATGAGAATTTATTAACTAAAAATGATTGAGTGACACTTATTTTTCTTTATACAAATTCAAAATTCGCGCCAAAAGTGCATTAGAGTAAAGACTCACGTAAACTCAAGTAAAAAACTCACTATTATTGTCGATCAATAATGTAGATCGTAAAAAAGTTATCAGTAGGTTCAGCTATTTATCGAGCAATTAGTTCTCCGAATTTTCGCAAAGTTGTGAGTCGATTTTATGGGAATACAAGTAGTACCGACAGAACGGGTGCGGATAGAGGGTGCAGGAAACGGGAAAGTTTAACAATCGATTCGCAAGAGCAGCTCCTTTACGATTGCGTTAAGGATCATATGCCGAATCCGTCGTAAACTCAACCCTCTCAGGTCTGCTCGCAGTTTCCGTTTAAGCCGATTACTCGATTCCATAACACTGCGACGAAGACAGCGTTCGGAATTTATCGTGACAGCATTGAGATTGCGATTCCGGCGTCTTGAGCTCTTGGAAACTGTTCGACCTTAACATTTATGTCCCTTCTGATTGTTCCGTTCAGTTATTTCGGTTTCGTGCTGATTTTACTTCAGAAATTATTCATATTGTAATGGCGACGCCATTTTGTTTCGGAATGAAATTAATGTACTCTTATGAAACATATGAGTGAATAAGTAATTGTAATGTTAAGTGTAGAAGATAACCTAATCGAGTTTTAGGTTAAGTTCTAATTACAGGCTTCATTGTACATGTGAACCTAATTTTAGTTCAGTCATTCATAGAATATCAGTTCACATATAGTCTATATGAAGGTTCACATGTGATCACATATGAAGAATGAGAAAACGTCCAAACTCAACATCTGATAATTCTTAGGTCCTAAGTACATTAAATTAACACAGAAGGTTTATGTGAACTTAATTTCAGTTCAGCAATTCATAGAATACCAGTTCATATGTAGTCTAAGTCAAGGTTCACATATGATCACATATGAAGACAAGTACTCCATATGAGACAACGTCCAAACTCAACATCTGATCATTCTTAAGTCCTAAATACATTGAATTAACATAGGAGGTTCATGTGGACCTAATATCAGATCAGCAATTCATAGAATATCAGTTCACATATAGTCTATGTGAAGGTTCACATGTGATCACATATGATGATATGAGACAACGTCCAAACTCAACATCTGATCATTCTTAAGTCCTAAATACATTGAATTAACATAGGAGGTTCATGTGGACCTAATATCAGATCAGCAATTCATAGAATATCAGTTCACATATAGTCTATGTGAAGGTTCACATGTGATCACATATGATGATATGAGACAACGTCCAAACTCAACATCTGATCATTCTTAAGTCCTAAATACATTGAATTAACATAGGAGGTTCATGTGGACCTAATATCAGATCAGCAATTCATAGAATATCAGTTCACATATAGTCTATGTGAAGGTTCACATGTGATCACATATGATGATATGAGACAACGTCCAAACTCAACATCTGATCATTCTTAAGTCCTAAATACATTGAATTAACATAGGAGGTTCATGTGGACCTAATATCAGATCAGCAATTCATAGAATATCAGTTCACATATAGTCTATGTGAAGGTTCACATGTGATCACATATGATGATATGAGACAACGTCCAAACTCAACATCTGATCATTCTTAGTTCCTAAGTACATTCATTTAACATAGGAGGTTCATGTGAACTTAATTTCAGTTCAGCAATTCATAGAATACCAGTTCACGTATAGTCTAAATCAAGGTTCACATGTGATCACATATGAAGATATGAGAAAACGTCCAAACTCAACATCTGATCATTCTTAGGTCCTAAGTACATTAAATTAACA